CATGCTGGTTACAAAAATCAGAAGCCAGCAACACTCATGCTTGTTACTTATTAGTATTCTTTTTTGTAGACTTACAAAGAAGTCTACTTGACAGAGAAAAATATAACATAAGTCTATCACATTAGACAACATCCAAAGCAACAATATAGTTTATAAGTTCAACACACACTAAAGACCTACAAATCCAATAGAAGACAACCCAAAGCAATGAGACACTAATACATAATAGAACATCCATAGCAATAAGACAACTCATAAGTTCAACACATAACACTAACACATCTAGAGTTTTTCACCACTCATTCTCTGTATACAACGAGTAATTGAGCCATCTTCTGCAAAAAAAAAAAATGGTTTACATAATTAGCAAACCAAAATTTCATGTTTGATAAAATTATATCATAGACTTACAAGTACGTCTACAAATTTTAAGTTAACAACATAGACAAACAAAAAATTTGATAACTTCCTAATTACAACAGATTATCTTCTGAAAATCATTCAAGACACTTATGATTAACTAACACACACTTTCATAAAAAAATTTTTTGAAAAAACTTAATGAATAATACACAAATCCACTTTTGATAGATTTTACATGGTAGACTACATATTCAATCTACAGAGGTGTAGACGTTTTATTCAGTTTACAGGTTGTAGACTGAACTTTAGGTCTACGTTTAGGTTGGTTTCTGCAATTACCAAATTCACGGGTTACTTTCTGTATTTGAAAAAAAATGTGATTTTATACGAGTAGACTTACTTTTTAGTCTACATTTTTTGAAAGGTTAGTTTTGCAATTGACCAGAATTCGATCAGAGTTTGACTTTTACAAGTAGACCTATTATGCAGTCTACATTTTTAAATTTGTTTGAAAGAGGTTAGTTTTGCAATTGACCAAAGTTGACTTTCTACGAGTAGACAGAACTAAATGTCTACGCAACTGTAGACTGCAGTAAAAGTCTACACTATTACCCGACAGGTTAGTTTTGCAATTGACCAAAACAAAATAGTAGACTTCTTATGCAGTCTACTTTTTTTTTCTAAGTTTTGTAGACTGCATATGAAGTCTGCACGTAAAGTAAGTTTTTTTCTAAGTTTTGTAGACTGCATATGAAGTCTACACGTAAAGTAAGTTTTAGTCAAATACAAAAGAAACCTATTCAACGAAGTCAAAGTTTTGGTCAAATGCAAAACTGACCTTCCGTAGACTTACCTAGCAGTCTACAAATTGTAGACCTTCACGAAAGTCTACTATGGTAAGTCAAAATT